ACATGATGAACCTCATCCACATAATAGACTACGAGCCCCTTTAGCTCAATGAAGATTTGAGTACTGAGGAAAAACCCATAAGGAACCTAGCTCACGAAGTGAAACTGCTATGCAACAGGGACATTGCGTTCGTTAAGGTGTTGTGGTAGAACCACCACACCGAAGAAGCCACGTGAGAGCGTGAGGATGAAATAAGAGTTTGAGACGTTCGAGTACAAAAAAATTTTTAGGGTGTATAATGTAACCATTGAAAATTTTTAAATAAATAAATAATAATAATAATAATAATAATTTAAAAATAAATAAATAAATGATCGACCTCTCTCTCTACCTTCCCCAATTATCTCTACCCAACTACAGATTTTGGGAAGAGAAAAATTGGAGAAAGAAATAAAGGAAAGATAGTAGATTTTGGGAGAGAAAAATTAGAAATGGCTTCACAACAGATTTAACGGAAAGAGGAAAGAGAGAAGAAAAGTCATCTGTAAGTTAGATCTCTCTCTTTTATATTTTGCAAATAGATAGAAAAGTTATCTTAAGTTAGATATCTTTTCCTTTTATCTTTTGCAATTATTTAGATTTTAGATATCTGACCTAAAGTCAAAATTAATTAAAAATGGCCTCTGTCAATTGCATGTAAATTGCATTGATCATTTTCAAGGAAAGAAAAGAAAATCATAATTGATTAATGCATAGCCATTTTTCAAACGAAAATTAGAATGGATTGAAAATGGCTACGATTAATTGGATAGTCAATTTTAAGAAATAGAAGAAAACTGAATTGATTGAAAATGACATAGTTAATTGGATAGTAATTTTTAGGAAAGAGAAGAAAACAAAATTGATTGAAAATGGCTTATAATTGCATAGTACTTTGTAGGAAAGAAAGAGGAGAGAAACAAATTGGTACAACATAGAGAAGGAAAATGGAAGAGGTGAGAAATTATTATTATTTTGTACCTAAGAATATGGTATTATAACAAACTATAGTTGGATTGAATGGTTAAGTAGCATGAAATAATGTTGACATATTTTTAATTTAAGTTTTACTATCCAACAAAATTTAGAAACAATACAACGTGTAATTCAATTTTTACTGAGACTGTTTTAGAGCGTATTTCACATTGTTAGTTGAATTATTAATTAAAATGTGAAATACTTGTACAAAAAGTGACGAACGGTGCGATATGAGGTGAACCTCGACAACCTTTAGAGCAGCTCTTGAGGAACGGGAGCTTACGTTAATTAAATAAGTGAATACTTCGGCTAAGGCCAACCAGGTAAGTGACCTTACTATAGAATAGGCTAAAAATTGTATGAATTATGATGATGTATGAATTGTGTCGTACGATGTCGTAAGATAATGTGTGATGATGTATGAGTTATGACGATGTATGAGTTATGATGATGTATGAGTTATGATGCTTGATGATGTGCGTAGTATATATATATATTTTGATGAATGACGTACTTGATATGTTTGATGCACTTTATGACAATATGATGAGTATGGTGATTGTGTGACATTTACCTTAATATGATGATGTTTTCCATATTGAGCATGTTATATGATTATGAGTGTCATATTGCATCATGTCGTTTGATCAACATAGGACACAACCCTTAGAGCATGAAAATGATATTAATATAAATATCCACGAGTATGTGTTACCTAAAGTAACAAAGAGATGAGACTAGAGGGTTGTGTTAAAAGAGACATTATGATGAATTTAGAGGGACCTCATGCATATTGTATATTCATAAGCATAGGGCTACTTCCCCTAGAGATGATGAGTGCGAATGCGCACGAGTGCCAATGCGCACAGATGAGAGTGTTCATGAGGCGCATGACACTATAGGGTTCCGCTGACCTCTGGACGTCACTACAGATTAGCTTGACTAGAGGATCCAGGGGGTGTGCGAGCGCCCTGGGGATTCACACTCACACGTGTGAGTCGTGTGTAGGGAAGTACTACACATCCAATTTGTTCGAGACTGGAGGCCACCCTTATGATGATTAGAGATAGGTCCCTAAATCATGATTGCATGTATTTGCATTTGCATGGCCCCCTATAGTGGGGCCACTTACTGAGTATTCTTCAAAATACTCAGGCCGTGTGCCACATCATTTTTCAAGTAAAGACAAGGAGCACTTGTACGGAGGGCGGCGACATTGCAAGCAGAGACTGTGACACGTGCATAAGGTAGACTCATATTTAAATTACTAGTCTTAAGTTAGAATAAGTTGTTTTGCATTTCATTGTTTTAAATTATTTTGTATTTGTTTTTGTTTTCTCTCAATTTCAGTATTTCGTATTTAAACACATAAAATCATAGCGGTGTTTTTCAGAGAAGAAGTTGTTTTAAGCATTTTTCAAAGTTTAAGTTATAAATGATGTTGTGTAAGAGTTATATTTCCTCATCTCTAATGAGACGCTAATAGCGACTCTGAGTATGTGAAAATTTAGGGTCATTACAGGTATTACTAAGATATTGTCAACACAATGGGTGATCTCCAAGTTGTCGAAAGAATCAAGAAACTCAACAACTTGAAGCTATATAAACAAGACCTTTGGGAGGTCGTTAGCATTCTATCTTATCTATATAAACAAGACCTTTGGGAGGTCGTTAGCAGAAGCTAAACTATGCCATTTGAGGAAATCTTAATGACACCTTGCACAAATGGAGAATAAAAGAAGGCCAGGTAATATTTTCTTTGAAAACCACAGTAGAATAAGAGAGGCTAGAGCACATTCAAGATCACAAGAAACCCAAAGAAGCATGAGACATGTTCGTGACACTTTTCTTTAAGAAGAACGATACGAGACTATAACTTCAAGAGAACAATCTCTCATCAATCTCACAATGTGACAAAACAATTGCACAGTACTTTCATAGGATCAAGTCGACCTGTCAGGAAAATACTGAACTAAATTTGGAGTCTCATTAAAGAATCTCGAATGAAGGGTGAGGAAGAAGCACTATACACAAGTGAAAGTCAATGCAACAATAAGTCGTCCACTGATACAGACAACCCTAGATGACATAGAGTTTTCTATCTGGGTGTCCCGTGTATATTTCTCTTTACATCTTCTCTTTTTTATTATTTATATTTTTCATTTAGATCAGTATGTGAGCGGTATTTGCACCACTAATATTGGTTTATTACATTTGGCAAATATTTGACCATGAAATCAAACTTTGTTTTCAATTGTAGGAGAATCTAATTGGAAAAGCACTATGAAGGGATAGGGCAAAGTTAGGTTCATTAATTAATTAAAACCACCTTTTTAGAGGATAATCCCATGGCTAAAGAGCATAATGCATCAAGCACTAAGGATTCCAAATCAAACACTTTTTCATTTTCCTATGCACCTAATTTATATGCTTTTTGGGAAATCATTACTATATTCCCTTATATATTTTAATCACATTCTTTGAGATCAGCATACTAATTTAAGCCATCTTCTTTAGCTACCACTTACCCTCTTTGGAAAATCAATGCCCTACACTTCTTTTAGTCACATGACATTTAATCTTTATAATGAAATTCAAGCGCTTCAACCGTGTTCTACCATCTTATTTTGATCTAACTTTAGTCTAGATATTTTAACTTATTAACCCAAAAATAAAAAAAAAGGGTTATAACCTCTCTTCGAATTTTTTAAAAATAGATATCTATAATCTATAATCTTGTCATGGAGGGCAACACGGCGGCTTTGACAGCACCATCAAGGTGTGAGTATGCTTGCGCGAGAACGCCGACAAGACCCTATCTAGAACACGACGTGACCCAACCTACAGGCGCTCCAGCGTTGGCAGCGACACATTTAGACCCGCAGCAATGCATTTAGGCCTGCGTCAGCGCATTTCCTCTCTCCCTCTGACACGTTTTTGTGGGCAGGTTGAATGTTACTTGTGAGACCTAATCAATCCAACAGATGCCCGAGCCATTTTTGGTAACATCCATTGAATTGGCTCCTTTTATTTGTTTTCAAATTGTGATATGATCGTTGCAGCCCTTTTGTTAGAGTTTTAGACTAGTTTCCAACTGACCCAACAAGCTTTAGGGACGACATTTGAATAAGAACTAGTTGGTATGTCTTACTTAAAATGTGGAGCCAAACCAGTTTTTTTTATTACATTAACTTTAATTTTCTAAATTAGAAATGGTTTAAATTATAGTTTACCATATATTTCATATTTAATATTTTATTATACGAAATCTCGAGAAACTTATCGACCTTTTATAGAGATTTACTTTTGAAATCTGGAAGCCGCACTAGCCTCTTTGCCAACTAAGTCGCCGCCGCCCTTCTCGCCAAAATTGGCTCCTTCGCCTAATGTGGCAACTCTTTCGACTGCCATTCTCGCCAAAATTGGCTCCTTCGCCCAATGTGGTGACTCTCCTGGCTTCAACATTGTCTTTGTTCCTTACTCTAAGTTTCCACTCCTACTTGGGTTAGATATATTCTCGCCGGAACCAAGACAGCATCGTTGCTGAGCAACGATCCCTTAGACATATTCTCGCCGAAACCAAGACAGCATCGCCGTTGAGCGTCAATTCCTCTACAATTTTCGATGGGCAAGAAAGTGTTTCTCTACGTCTCCTTTGAACTAGGTTGTTGACATCTTCATAAAAAGTATTTCTCGACCTCTCTTTGAATTTTTTAGATCCAAGTTTCACATTCGTTCAAATCTGACGTTCATCTTGCGGGGCGTGTCAAGGATATTTAATACTAAATTATAGTTTACCATATATATTATATTTGATATTTTATTACAAGTAAATATCGAGATATTTGCCTTCTTACCATAAGTATCTTTCCATATATTATTTTTCTATTTATTACTCTTTTCCTATCTTCATCATTTATTTAGTTATAAGTATATAACTTTCACATCATTCGTGGAGTGAATTAAGCAAATTTGGTCGGAATCCTAACAAATAATATAAATATTCATGGAAAAAAATAATAATAACATAGAACGTTGGAAACTAGTCTAAAATAAATACAGGAATTTCTGTAGTTTTGGGCCAATTGTTTTAAGCTCACAGGCCCAAGCCCAGGCCCATAGCTATGATTTGGCCCTTCATTTCATCTCTGTTACATACTAGGGCTTTTCAGCAGGTTTCTCCGCGCCAATCTCGCAGTGGGCAGTTCACAGCAAAATCCATCGCAGAGCTCTCTATAAAATCCAGGTTATAGCGACTAGACCTAATTCTCCTGTATTCCGTCCTTCTAAGCTTTTATGTGTTTCGACGTCGTCTTCCTCTGTTTGGTTTCTTTGTTTGTTGATTGTGGCTATGGATTCTTAGGGTTTTGTTTTATTTTTTCTTGTTTACTTGCTGCTTAAGATTGGTAACTTCAATTATGCCCAATGATGGAAAAACATTGTTTATTGAGCGGCTGCAGATGGCTTAGTTCGTCATTAGCCTTTGCTTATCTCCATCTCCATCATCACCTCCTCATTCGTTCTTTCCATACATATAATTCCACACACGTCACTACTGGTAAAGGCTTTTGATGAACGAATGCCGTTTGCTTTATGCCGTGTGTGATTCATTAAAGCTATGAGATCTGAGGGCTTTGGTTCTATACTGCTTTCTTTAATGCAGCTCAATTCTTTTTGTTTCCTTAATTTTTTTTTTCTTTGTTTCAAGCTTTGTTGTTATTTTATTGTATTGCTTGTTTCCTTGGATTCTATACTGACTTCGAGAATTTAGGGCAACTTGTGGAATATGATAGATATTTGCACTGGATTTGGGGCATTTTCTTACTGTACTTCTTGTAAAAATGCAGCCTTGGAAGCCGATTAATTCAACCCATTTGAAATTATTTGTTTTCTACAATTTAGAAGTTAGTATCTTTGTCTTGCTTAATATGTTTTCTCGTTTGTTGTCTGTTGTTTGGTTCTGTTGTTTCCTGTTTCTTTTGTGGACTCTGTTTCCTTTCTTTGAATTTTCCTACTCATAAACTCTGTATTCCCATGTTTGTTTGTGATTTCTAATTTATAAGAAAAAATTTATTTCTCCAAATTCATAATCAAGAACCTTATACTTTTGCATAATCCTCTTAGTTTCTGTGATTCTGACACTTGCTAAGTCTGATCTCCTTTTGATTGATGCTTTTGTTTTTTAAACCATTATAATGTTGTAGATTTTCGAATTTATCTCATCAAAGACCCCTCAAATTCTTCATGATCAAATGTTTTACCACCTGCTTTCAGCTTTATGCATGGCTCTACGTTTCTTATAATTAAATTCATTGTCTGGAATACCCATTTTTAACAATTAAGAGGCCATGCAAATCCATGGAAGAGAGAGGAGCTTTGCCCATCCAAAATTTGAGAAAGAGGATGACGATGTTATGTTTTTTTTACTACATTGATTGCATAACAAATGGAAATGGGATGGGCATATATTCAAGATCGTTATTAATACGGTGGGTGGAATTCGCCTATCGTCAGATTTGGCTTCAAAACAACAATAAATCGATAATTATATGATACTGATACCTTTTCAATAGTATTTTGAGTTGGAATATATATTTTTTTACTTGAGAAGATTTTGGGGACAAAGAAAAATACTCTTAAACAAAAAATGGTGTGAATATCAGTAGAAACATTTATGTACAAAGAAAAATACTTTTAAAATTTTGAAGAAAATCGTGTGTTAGTCGTAGGGAAATGTTGGTGAAGGAAGAAAAGAGCTTAATTTTTCAGTAGATTTTGAGCTGTAAACAAAAAGAGAGAAATTCGTAATTTCGAATTCCAAGTGTCAGTAACCTTGATAAAATGCAGATTCGGTTTGATATATGATTATTGTTTTTTTTAACATTTAATCACAATATTTTTCATTTATTATACCTAATAAAAGTAATTTATGGAAAGTTGATGGATGGCCAAATTGATGAGTAAAAAATGGGGAAAGAGTTAAGCAGCATAAAAAATTCAATAATGAAACCAAATTCTATTATAACTCAGAATATTAGTGTAATTTTTGCGTTTTTCATACCAAAAATTTCAATAATATCGTTAAATATATTAGGTTCAAAGACGAATAGAAAAGATATATATTTGAACACTGTTTGAGGTACGAAAATTAGCATTTTTTTACTTTGACTCGGCTGCCAAACCGAGGCTCCGGTGCTATCAAATCACAGTTCTATCTGACCCTTCAAAAGCCATATTTATGTTTTTTTGTTTCTCTTCCATCATTTCTTGGGGCTTCCTTTAGTTTCCCTTCCTCGATTAATTTAGTCGTGGCAGTCCGGAGAGACAAGATCAAATAACTCAATTTCCCCCATTTTTGGCAAACATGCCCCCTGTTATTCTCTTTCTGTCCCCTCTGTTCATCGTTGATCACCCTTTACTCCCCCCTTCACTGCCTTCTGGCATTTACTAAGGGATTTTCGTGAACCCCATTTCGTCTATTCCATGGATGATTTAGTTTACGCTATTAGGGCTGAGGGCTTCTCTTATTTATGGAGTTGATCTCAACTATTTTGCCCAGAGTCTTTGTGGGTGTGCGTTAACTTCATTTCTTTTTTCTCCCTTGCATGTCCAGATTTCATAGTACTAAGCACTCTGGTTATTTTTTTTGTTTTTGTTGGGGTTTGCCTAAAATGGGTAAGTTTCAGTTGTCAATGTGTCGATCATTCATGTTTTGGATTTTCTTTTGTTTTTATTAACTGGGTCCTGGCTTAATGGCAAGTCCTACCTAGATTTGCTTATATTTGTTTGTTTTATGCTGTTGATTAGGATTTAGTAAATCTGTTTGGAGGTATTACGAATTATATGTGTGAGGTGAGTGATGCTTAGGATGCTGAATCTGATCCCTCTAAACTTGATTTTGTTTTTAGTCATTTGTTTAATTTATATGTTCATCATTGTTCATTTGCAGTATATGCATTTCAAGCGTATCTGTTTATTGTTCTTTATAAAGTATCCAGTCATAATTCATTTGGATTAAATAGCCACGGTTTTATTATTTATTATTACTTGTTTTTCTAATCTCAGGATAGCATTTTTGTTCGTTTTTTTTTTTTTTTTTGGTCGAGTTGCATGCTATTGAATGAGAAATTTGTTAGATGTATTTCTGTTTTTGTACAAAATTTTTTAAGTTAGCTTGTTTCTCAACGTTTAAATCTTGTACATGCAAATAGGATTGTTTTCTTTTAAATGGTCTAATTTCTAAATGATTCTCATATGTAACAACTGTGATCTGAAATTTTTGTTTTGCTTGTTTTAGTATCTTGATTATTGATCTCTATGTTCGCATTTTTCCACTATTCATCAGAAAATTGCACCTGCCCAATGATGGAGAAACTCATTTCTGGAGTTGTTAGGTTGATTCTTATCACAAGCCTTTGCCCTCATCCACAACTCTCTTTCTCTCTCTCTCACTCTCTCTCTTTCTTCAAACACAAACCCATCCAATCTATCTGTCTTTTCCCAATATTTTGCCTTCTCTTTTGGTAAATTATTATAGTGGCTGTTGCTGTGTAGAGGTAGTGATGAAAATCAATTTTGACTGAGGGCATTTGCACATACTCTTTGATCGTAAAGGTTCACTGAATTGTTTTACTAATTTTGAAGTGCAAGGAACTTGTGCATAAAGTCATTTTTTGTTCTCCAAATCTTATTTCGAGACAATTTTTTTTTTTTTTTTTAATTTAATCAATTTTGGCTAACCATCATGTGTTGACTTAGTGGGCATAAAGGCCTGGGAGAAATAAGAGAATTGGTGGCCACCTATCTAAGATTTTGGTATCTTACGCGTTTCTTATCAACCAATGTAGCAGAGTTAGGTGGTGTTTTGGTGAAATTAGTCGAGATGCATGTGAGTTGGCTTGGACACTCGTTTTTTTTTAATCCATTCTGGTTTATATGCATTTAAATATTTTGTTTTGGCTTGGAGCATTATAATTTTTTTTTTTTTTTTTATATCAGCTGTTAAATATTTTTATATAGTTTAACATAAGTGTTTGACCACCATTTTTCCAATTCCAATACAAGATTTTTATATATAGGGTTGTCCATTCTTTTGAATGCTTGTAGCTTCATTTAGTTGGTTTTTTTTAGGTCGTTGCAGCAAGGTGGGAGAGTGTCACATAGGCTGGTTCTATATGGCCAATTTAAAGAGGCTGATATTCAATATAGAGCTTTTGGGTTCTAATGTTATGGTAGCACCTCGAACCGTTCACTCCTGACATAAATTTAATGATAAGGACCTAAAAGCATTCTTTCCCCAAGTACATGGATCGAAACAGGTAAAGGTGAAAGTTCAGGATCATGATAAATTTTGAATCTTTGTTTCTTTCTGAATTAGTGATTCTTCTATCCTTCTGTTTTCAATATTTTGTTTTTATTCATGATAAATGTTGTCTATTTATAGACATGAATATATGATCATATACATGACTTTTATATTGGGTGTAAAGTCATTTGTCTAGACAAATCTCATACACAATCACTTGACTTCATAATATTTGACATTATAAAATTGGGTTTGGCTTGAACTCATGGTCATTAAGATTTCTAGAATCTTATTTTACTGTATTCATTTTGATTTTTGTAATTCTTCTTCTTATTATTATTATTATAATTGTTTTTTAATGTGCATATATATATATATATATATACACATATATGTATAAATTGGTGGGGGTGGGATGCACTTCTGATTAAGTTGGTTCCTTTCAATTGTATTTTCAGAAGATGTGTTGATTGTATGGTATTTGGACTTTTGTGTATGAAGAAATTGGCTTTGCTTTAGAAGTTGCATCTGCCCGATGATGGAATTCACTGATTAGAGCAGATACTAATGATCCTCATTATAAGCCTTTGCCATTAACCAACTCACACATAATCTGTCTGTCTGTGTGTCTCTCTCTCTCTCTCTCTCTATCTCTCTCTATCTCTCTATCTATCTGCCTATCTGATAATCCATATATCTGATTTCTTCTTTTTCTTCTTCTTTTTTGTGGGTGGTTAAGGATGTGCAGAGGCTAGTAATGAAAATCAAATACATCTAGAAATGATGAAGTATGATTATGATTTCTGAGGGCATCTTGGAATTGGTTAATCTACATGAAACTGTCACTGACGTTGTAGTCGGATTTTGGAGAATAAAACTATTTCATTTTAAAATGTTTCTTGATGGTTATGCTTCTCATGCAATGGGTTTTCTCTGTTTTATTACCGAACAAGATTTGCACTCGTTAGATTTGAAGCATGAAATATGGTATGCTATTAAATTAGAATGATGATAATCAGAATAATAATGAAATGTTGATAATGATAAAGAGAACAATTTAAGGAGTAGGAATATGCATATTATTAATTAGTGTTTGCATTTTGAAATTGTCTGTGCCCGATGATGGAAAAACTCGTGCTCTGAAGCATTTGCATTGATTTCTAGTACTAGCCTTTGCCCTCAACCATGAACTCTTTCTCTCTCTCTCTCTCTCTTTCTCAAACTCTACAAACACATACATACATACATACATACATATATATATATATACATTATACGCTTTCCATTTCCTTTCTTTTCTTTTATAGTGGCTGTAGATGAGTAGAGGCTAGTATGCGAATGAAATGCAAGCATTGTCAATGAGGAATTAAGCTATGAGTTCTGAGGGCATTGTCATCCTGTGTTTGGTTTTAATGCATTACCTGTTATCCTTAGTGTAGACGTAGTGTTTGCTTGGTGCTCTCTGTGATGGTAATTGCATCTGCCTAAATGGGAATGTGTGAGTTGTATAGTTGTATAGTGCCCATTTGATAACCGAGGTATATTCTGCGCTCTATTCCCGTACGAGCGCTTGCACTCTTCTTCTTGTTGTCTTTTCTCAAGCCTTAGATGCTCGATTGTGGTAAAGCTTCATTGTTTCTTGCATCTGCCCAAATGGAATGCGTTAATTGTATAGCGCCCATTTGATAACTAAGGTATGAGTCAATGTCCTTATTCTGCGCTCTTTGCCCTTTGGAGCCCTTGCATGCTTCCTTTTGGGAGGTCATACTAATAGCGCTGTCTTTGCTGTGTGTTTGTTGCCTTTTGAAGTTTATATGAGTTTGATCACTTGCTATGTTGGTTGGTCTCCACACACACACACACACACACACACACACACACAAAAGGGATTTATTTGATTTGAGTGTTATTTTCCTGTTGGCTTGTGTGATCATTACCATGACCATGAGGGAAAGCTCATGGGTGAGCATCTGATTTATCCTTCGCCATGTTCTTATGAACAGGCAGAAACCCAAGAATCAATGAGGCCTGGAGAACATTTTAACAGTGAAGAGTCAATCATGGCCAGGAAACCAAGGCAACACTCCAACCTCTGTGAAAAGAAAACAACTTATTCAGAACTTTTCTCATTTTGAGAGAATCGAAGATTGACTTTCAGACTTTGAATTGAGGAGGAAGATGTTAAGTTCATAGATTTTGTTGGGTCTGAACAGCCGAAGCATGATGTCTGAGTTCATAGATTTGCTTTGATTTAAGAACAACAATTGTTCTTCTTGTGTTAATTGTTAATTAGGGGGCTGGGTTGGGTTGGTTGGATTGGTGACCTAATTTAACCTGAAAATTTTCACAACCCAACCCGAAAATTTTCTTAGAGCTTTCTTAGAGTTCCATCAAAATTTTCTTAGAGCTTTCTTAGAGTTCCATCAGGTTCAGGATAGGTTTGGGGTCCGGAGCTCAGCAGCATTACCGGCAGGTGGTTTAGTCAGTCTCATTCAAATAGCTTTACCAGAGTTCCATCAATCTCATTCTTCCTTGTCTGTAGAGTCTGAGTCTTCTTCCTTTGACTATTTATTCATGCTTATCGAGTTATTCACATATAATCTTAGATATAAGAATTTACGACAAACACAAATGGATCTATAATTATTTACATAAAAAATAACATATTAACATAGTTTAATATTTATAAATAGTTTAACATAGTTTAACATTTATAAATAGTAAATTAAATAAACAAGATGTTGTAAATGATATAAAATATTTTAATTGTAATAGCTTTGTTAAACTAACCAAAATAAGAAATTTTATGACGAACTCGAGTGTGGGTGTCTTTAGATAGGTTGAGGTTTTATGACGAACTCGGGTCAAGGTTTGATCCACGAATTCGAAACCCGGTTCAGTATTAAAACATTTGTTGATTTATTTTTAAATATTTAACTATACTTTACAGCATAGTTGTCAATATATTTTGAAAAGAATAAATAATCAAAAAATTAATTATTAAATAAAAATAAAAACAAAATAAATAATTGTATGCAAACAAAAATCAATAAAATTTTATCTAATTATATTAAAATAAGTTAAAAAGAAATAAAGATTTACTAATACACTCAATAATTTTATAAATGTCAAAACTGTGATATAAATTAAAAATTAATTATCCAATTTAATGATAGGAAATATTCCCAAATAACAATATTACAATACCTCCACCCATGCATGACAGGTCAAACATTAAGAACACCCAAACTTCAACACCATTGTCTTGTTGATGTCTCAAGCTGCCAAGGTTGCTATGTCCCTTGCGATGTTCTGCGCATCATTTGAAATCCCAAGCAACCCTTGCTTTCCAAATCCTGCACAGTACAACCCATCTTCTCCCTTCCAATGATTTGGGGGCCTTTGCTTTGGAAACCCATCTTCCTCATTGAACTGCCCCTTCTCATCCTATCAAATGTTTCATATAATTGCTTCAAACCCTTTTCATATTTCATGATTTCAATCATCAACAATTGCGTTTTACCCCCTTACCTCCAGCCAATTCAGCACTGTGCTCTTGTACCCCGTCGCAAAAATTATCGCATCGAAGTAATTCACAATGCCGTATGCAAACCTCACATGGTCTTCGTTTATGCATGTGATCGATGGAAGAACCTGAAACAAGACATTTGATCAACCAGGTAATCTGAATCTTATTTGATTAGAGGGTGGAAGAACCTGAAACAAGACATTTGATCAACCAGGTAATCTGAATCTTATTTGATTAGAGGGTTTTAGCGTTCGTTTATGTAGCGGGATTGAACTGAATAGGTTAGAACTTTGTACCTTGATCTCTCCTTTCTTGATTCTATTCATGCATCCAACATCAATGGTGGGGGAACGACCAGTTTTGGCTTTGATAAGAAAAGGGCCTCCTTTTGGCCTACGAATCCCATACTTGGATGAATTTCCATACTTCATCTTCGCAAGATTAATGCAGATTGGATCCACAACCTTGCATGGAAGATACCTCAATAAAAACATCCCTACCCGAACGATGTCTTTCGTTAACACGTGGACCTGCCCGACACAACAAAACACTAATTTTTAGATCGTTTAGAGTTCATAACTCAACCCAAATAATACCAAATTGGGTTGATAACTCCCCCGTCATGAGTCGGGTAAGAAAAAGATGAAGAAACGAGATTATTACCGGGCTCCGAACGACGATGGAAGTATTTGCAGCATAATTAGACAAATCATAAGCAATCTCCATGCCAGAATTCCCACATCCAACAACCAAAACATCCTTACCTCTAAACCTCTCTCCATTCTCATACCCACTTGAATGCAATACCTCACCATGGAAGCTCTTCAATCCAGGAACATCCGGCAAAAACCCCTCACTATTCTCCCCAGTGGCAGCCACGAGATACCTACAAACATACCTCTCTTCCACACCACTACCCTTGTTATTCACCACCACCATCCACTTCCCCTCCACCTTGTCGTACCAAGCTCGTTCCACGCTCCGACAACACCGCGGTTCAATCCCGAAACACGACATGTAGTTATCCAAATAAGCAATGAAATCCAACCGAGAAATGTAGGTTGGTGCATTGTGTGGGAATGGCATGTAAGGAAGTTGACAATAGGGTTTGGCTAAATGAAGCTTCAACCTGTCATAAGCCCTTTTTCGCCATAGAGAAGCGCAGCAATCGTCTCTTTCGAGTACGATGTTATGTATCGAAAGACGGTTGAGGCATGCTGCCGTTGCAAGCCCCGCCGGACCACCGCCCACGATCACCACCTGCGTTTCTTCCATGGCGAAACAATTAAGGGCTTCTAGGATGGAGGGTGTGGCTTACTCTTTGCCCATCAAAATTAACACACCTTTGGGTGTTTATATATTATGAGAATTAGACAAATTTTGTTACATTATCAAATTTAGGTTTGTCGCAATAATTAATAGCCATAGAAAAAATAAAAATTAATTAATTTTAAAACTATGTTATGTAATAAAAAAAAAATTGAAGAAGAAAATAAAAAATTGTGGTTTAAAAGTAGTTTTCTTAAAATAGATTTATCCTTAAACAACATTGTTGAATTGCTAAAAACATCATCGTTGAATAGGTTTGTAAATCTGTTTTTAGAATCTTAATTAATTAGTTTCCTTTTTGTTATCGAAATTAAATTTATAATTTATTACTTATTAATAATTATAATATAAAAAGATTTAGTTCTCATGTCGGGCTTAAATAAATATCTAACGTTGTCGGGAAAAAAGAACCTTAATAAAATGAGTCAATTATGACGATAATTCCATGTCTGTAGGGTTAGAGTTTTAAGATTTTTTTTTTTCATTGTTTTTTTAGTTTAATATTAATATAATTACACCTGTCATATCCCACATGTAGATTGGGGAGGAGAACGAAACATTTTTTTTTGCGAGAGATCGTTTTAAAAATCTTGAGGGTAAACCCGAAATAAAAAGTCCAATGAAGATAATATTTGCTAGCAGTGAGTCTGAGCTGATGGTATTAGAGCCAGACACTGGACTATGTGCCAGCAAGGAGACCCTTCCTTAAAGCGGGTAGACATGAGGTGATGTACCAATAAGGACGTTGGATCACAAACGGGGTGAATTTGGTGGGACATTGATTGGAGAAGTAACGTGTGCCAGCAAGGACGCTGGGCCCTAAAGGGGGTTTTTAAAGGACAATATTTGCTAGCGACCTGGGCCGTTACACTACAAGTACCTATTAATAATATAACTAAACAAGTCTTATTGAAATATAACATATTTTATTATTTATTACGTATTTAGCTCGAGGTATGTTCACTATTTAAGAATGGCAATTTCATCTCAAAACTAAGTAGTTTTTTTTATTAATGTCGATTAAGGATGTTACTGTCTAAAAACGAACTAGTTTAGATTATCTTTGATCCCATCACCCTGCTACAAGAATACACATTTGAATTTCGCGCCAATCACATTAGGCATGCAAGTCTAATGTGAAAGAAAACACGAGGTTTTAAAACTACGTGTCTTGAAGATGCATAGAACACAAAAAACAGTAGCTCAATGAACTCTAGATGGAATCGTGACAAACTTACTATGTGAACAAAGTAGGTGCAATATCTGGTTGAGTTGTAATAAGATAGACCAAGCTCCCAACAAGAGTATGATACAAACTAGGATTCGACAAATGAAGAGCATATACTAAAGAGTATTGTGTATTGATCTCAAGAGGAGTATCAACAATCTCGTTGTATTACCCAAAAAAAATCAGACAGCATCGCAAGGTAACTATGAAAATCGTACGTTTACCTGACAACTAATAGACATGAAACCAAAACAGAAAGACTATCAATAATTGAAAACCAACAAATATGAAAAATCTAATCAATCAAATTTAAGAACTCGTATGGATATGCAAACTCCTATGTCACACGTGCTAAAATCCTTAAATGGAAATGATTTCATCTCAAATAATTGTTCCAAATTTTTTATCGAAATGGGTGCTACAATTGAGTTTAGCTCTTCTCACTAATAGATTAATTTGGACAATATTAGGGGTGTACATGGTCGGTGTTTGATTGGGTTGATGAATTTTTTTTTACCCAACTCAAAAGTTATGGGTTGGTTAGATTGGTAACCCAACCCAAAATTTTCAAACCCAACCCTCTTTTCGGTTATCTGGTTGTTAAAAAAAAAAAAATTTCAAAAAAAAGTTTTATTTATTCACAATTTATAATTATTCGGTTATCCATTCGTGTTCAGACAAATGAACCCAACCCAACCCAACCCAAAATGCTAATCCAACCAACCCAACTCTTATATTTCGGGTTGGATTGGTTCGGATTGTCGAATTGTCAGGTTGAATGTATACTCCTAAGGTCTTTCAACAATAAACCTTTTTTGAGTAGCAGGGATCACATAATAGCACACCTGGGTTACTCCCGCATTGATATGTCATATTGGAAACTATTAGAAAATAGTCAACTAGTTCTTTAGTAATGAATTGCCTAGTGAGATTGGAGTCGTATACATCCTAGAGTTAGGATGATAGTGAAGGTGTCATGCTTCACCTTATCATGATTTGTATGACAATAGAGAAATGATTGAGAGCATAATTGATAAGACAACCTTAATTCTTAAGTCAATGATCCAAGCTTTTGTTGAATCAAGAATCATTAAATCATTAGATCAATCAATAGACAAGACCCGAATTAGATTACCTCTCAAAGTCAAACATAATCCAAACTTGATTGAATGGGTCGGATCTTGTGAGATCCCACATCAGTGGGAGAAGGAGAATGAATCATTTCTTATAAGGGTGTAGAAATCTATCCTAAGAGACGCATTTTAAAATACCGAGGGGAGGTCCTTGAAAGGAAAGCCCAAAGAGAACTCTGCTAATGGTGGGTTCGAGCGGTTATAAATAGTATCAGAGTCAAACACTGATCCTTGAAAGGAAAGCCTAAAGAGAACAATATCGTTCGAGCTGTTATAAATAGTATCAGAGTGAGACACGGGAGGATGTTGGGGTTACAAGAAAGGTGGAGTGTGAGATCGCACATTGGTTCGAGAGGGAACCAAACACATTTTAATACTTGGAAGGAAAGTCAAAGAGGAGAGTTTAATTAGAATAAAACCAACCATTGGATGGGTTGACTATCAATCCAACGGCAGTTGCAATATTGCAAAAATAGATTTGTTCTTACAGTATATCAATCAAAGGCGTCGGCACACTTTTCGAAATAAGAGTCGAGGAAGAGGATTCGGTGGGAAGCAAGCGAGTTCTAAATTCTGTCTGAAGAACAATTTCAAAGGCTTTTTCCTTCCCTCTCTACTCACTCAGTTTTTACTTTCCCTTTCCCTTTTCCTGTACTGGATTTGCTTTTTTCAAGGTATTTTGCTTCTTTCACTTCTAATGCTTTATTTCTGTTGATCGGGAAATTGATTGCGACTGAATTTGGGTTTTGTTGATGGTGGTTGATTAAGGTGGTTTTTTTCTGTGTTTCTGATGTCGTCGGCACCGTCTTCGAGTCAACCGGAGTTTGATTACTTGTTTAAGTTGCTGTTGATTGGGGACTCTGGAGTTGGGAAGAGTACGCTTCTTTTGCGATTCACTTCTGATTCATTTGAGGAACTTTCTCCAACTATTGGTATGACTGTGATTTCTTCTACTCTAATCGCGTCTTTGTAATCAATGGCTTGTGGCTTTCTTCGTTTGTTTATTTGAATCTGTCTCGAATGATCATTCAATTTAGCTTGAAGTTGTCTTGAATTCCAGAAGATGAAAGACTGAAGCCCTGTTTGATAGCGGTTACGATTGATTTTATAAACATTAGGTGTTTATTTATTTATTTTGTTTTGCTATCTAGTTTTTAGAAATGTTTTCAAACTCAACTTAGGAAGTTACTGAAAGTAGTTTTTCAATATATATATATTTTAAAAAAATTGGCTAAGAATTCAAATATATAGGTGAAAACATATGAAAGACTTGTTGGTGTTTTGAACTAAAAACTTTTATGCTAAGCCCACACCTACCAAAATGCTCTCAATCCTTCTAAAATTTTCCTGTTCTTCTCTAGTCAAATGTTCTACAGTATAGAGAAGGATAAAATAAGGAAAATGAAAGACATTAAATTCCCTGTTATCTTGTAAAGGCAGGTGAATGAACAATGGCTCTTCCATCATGGCTTGACACTATATGTTATGAACCAAATGCACATCTGAAGTCTCCAACAAACTGGCATGTGAATCAGTCAGTTCATAGATTCGATAAGGATCATGTTGTATGGATTGTTACCTCTAAAGTCTCCTACAGACTGTCCCAAATTGAATCTATGAACTGACAACTCAACATGACATGATCCATATCCTTAGAAGTACCCTTACGTAGCATGCTCTATTGAGGCCCCGTTAACATAAAATGATCTCTGGATAGAGTCAATAGTGTTAATCCTTTAGTGTCAGATTTGCCAATTGAAATTTTTTACCTTCTTTAGACTTCAACCTTCTAGAGCGAGTACTATAGAGATGGTGTGAGGAGGTGAGAATTGCACAAATGAGTAGAGTTGTACACAGGTTGAGTTGGAAATTTTTTGGACCAACCCGAAATTTCGGATTGGTCGGGTTGCCTACTAAAATGAATCAAATAGGGTTCACAACCCAACCCGACTCTCTATTTTCAGGTTGGTTCGCCGGCTTTTCAATTTTTTTTTAATTAATTTAAACAATCCTACTTATCCACGATATAGGTCACATTAATAGCTAAAATCTCTTAAGCTCATATATCAAACATCCACAAGTCACAATGCATCATTAACATCCACTATTGGTTTTCATCTTTGTAACAATTCTAGAAGTAGGGGTTAGGATGGGTTGGGTTAGGGAATTGGGTTGGTTTGGTTGACCCAACCAAAAAAATCCAACCCGCGAACCGAATCAGAATTTCGGTCCTCCAAAAATTCAAACCAAGCCAAATTAAAAAAAAAAAAAAAAAAAAAAAAAAAAAACTTCCGGTTTGGGTTGTTTGGGTAATCAAGTCATTCAAACACCCCTACAAACAAGAGATTAGATAACTATAGTAAAACTTAATGGATGATTAGGGGCAACAAACGAACATCAAAACCAGCCTAGCCAACATAGAGAGCAAAGAAGATACATTATAAGCTCCCTATTAGACAAGGGATGTCCAAAATTGGACAAAAGCCGCAAAGGCATATTATAGTGATGAAAGGTAACAAAGATGAAGGTAACATACGAAAACGAAACTATCCCCACCCTCCAATCCTCCCAACTAATTGAAGATCCTTTTTGTAACTCAGTTGGTTTTCTATTCAATATATTTCATTTACTTCAATGAAGTATTCTTTTGTTTCTTATAGAAAAAACAAAGAATCATATGATCTATTACTCATCTTGTTACATACTAAATGTAATTCTCTACATTTTTAGGTGTGGATTTCAAGATTAAGCATGTTACAGTTGGGGGAAAGAAGTTGAAGCTTGCAATATGGGACACAGGTGAAATCTTGCTGTTGTGTTTCATGTTATGCATGTGTATGAACATGATTGGGGAAAAACAATGGTGTCGTTTGATTTGTTTCTGTCCTCTTTTGGATTCACCCATTGTGTTATTGATCTGTATTTTAATTTCTACATTTTTGTTTTGAATGTTAGATATGCATTTAACATACTTTTTTTATGGATAAAGAAGTATGCATGAGAATTATTTATATTATAAAACCTTAGTACTGGCTTATTGAGTCAGTTTGCTTCAACCTTAACATGCTTTTCCTATAAATGTTTAAATTATGAAATTGTAGGGGTTGGATTTACATATATCTGCTGACCTTGACAGTGACTGGGGGGTGTACCATGCACGTAACATTTCATTAATTGCATTGATCATCGTTTTTCTTTTCATATTATGAAATGTTGCAGTTTGAAATTCTAATTATATGATTTCGATAGATAAGGTAGTGGATTCTTATGCCCACTAACTGACTTAGTATCTTTGAAAATCTCATGCATGTAAAATTTTACTGGTTATCTTGTGGTATTATATTGTTGTTGGAAATTATTAGGAATAAGTAAAGGACATCCTCAAAGACGATTTCTGTTTTTCGATCTACGATTCCACTGATGACAAACAAAAAACCAGAAGCAGAGAAACAGAAACCATTGTAGAGTAGGGCTTAATTTAGTTTCTTTATGGTGCTAATTGGGGCTTGTTATGATAGCTGTTGAATATAAAAAAACTTTGGTCTTTGTAAGTAATCAGCTAAGACATGCAGTATGCTTTTCAAGTCTGTGTGATGTAGTTTGGCAGTGGTATACTAAGATAAAATTGATTTATGTAAGCGCATCCTCCACATCTTTACTTGAAAGTTCGAACTTTTATTCCGTAAGTGGCTACCTCCTATTATTAAGTGTATTTTGATGAGATTTGATCTAGTAAGCACATTTTCCATACCTTTATTTGAAGAAAATTAAATTCTTTATTCCGTAGTATCTGTCTACTTTATTTTATTTTTTATTGTTATTTAAATGTTCTCTATTTGCAGCTGGGCAGGAGAGGTTTCGAACATTAACAGGTTCATATTACAGAGGCGCTCAAGGAATCATTATGGGTATCTTCTTTTTATTTCATCACTTTCTATCTACAATTATAATATTGGCATGCTACCATTGCTCCACTTATGAAATCTTGTTCGGGTTTTTGAGCCTCAGAAAAGCTTCGATTTTAGGTTCAACTTTGGAACTTATGGCTTTTCCTAAACGTCTAGGGATGACTTGTTTTGATAAATTCTTAAGTCTTAATTACTTTTTCTATTATTCAATTAGCTCTTAAGTTAACCAAATACTGTTACAACCTAAAAATTTAGTGTATGATGTGACCCGCCGTGAGACATTCACAAATCTCTCTGACATATGGGCTAAAGAAATTGACCTGTACTCAACAAATCAGGATTGCATCAAGATGCTTGTTGGAAACAAAGTGGATAAGGTATGCCTTTAACTCTTACGAAATTCAGTAGTAACTAGTAACTACCCTGCCCTATTTAATTAACTATGGATTTGAATTAGTATGAATTAGTATGACTATCTGGTTTAATTAGTGCCATAGTTACTGAAGTAACCCAGTATATTCTATTGAGCTTGGTTTATTGGCTACAAATTGTTTATAATATTTTTCTTCTGTAAATCAATTAATCCTTATTCTTAGTTTTAGATATTTAAATTCGAGCGATCTTATCTTTCAGGAAAGTGAAAGGGTAGTCAGTAAAAAAGAGGGAATCGACTTTGCTCGAGAATATGGATGCCTATTTCTTGAATGTAGCGCAAAAACTCGAGTCAATGTGGAACAATGCTTTGATGAGCTTGTGTTAAAGGTGCGTGAAAACTTGAACCTCTTCTGCACTAATATGGACAGCATGAACCTCCTATATTAATGTCCAGTTGCTCTCAAGTTAGCCCAAGAGTGCAATTGTAAATTTTCAAGTTATTCAAATAGGCATTTAGCTTAGAAATGATTTTTATTAGGTAGAACCAAAACAAGAACCTATTCAAGAACATCTCAGAGTGTTTATAATTTGCCCCACCAATCCTCCATAAGCCATTCAGTAACTTGCTGCTCCAAAAATGTGTTTGCAGATTTTGGACACGCCCAGTCTTTTGGCTGATGGCTCAACAGGTTTGAAAAAGAACATCTTCAAAGAGAAACCTCCTCAAGAGAATGCTTCAGCCGGTGGCTGCTGCTCGTATTGATTTTATGTCATGGACTCCAGGAGCATCTTCATTTGGTTTTAGGATACTCGTTATGCTGTTATTCCATTTTAGCACACCCTTGAAGTCAAAAGGTTTATGTTCTTCAATCTTCCTTTTATGGATTATGAGTTCGTTGAGCTAGAATATCTGCCAGAGTTATTTGCACGTCTTCTTTTAGCCTTTGTTACTAGGTTGACAATCTATTGATTTACCATGAACTTGCAACTTCACAGATGGAAAAGGATCCAAAACCTTGGGAATCCTATCAATACTTCGGTTTCGAGACTGGGTTCTTTTAATTGTTTAGATATCCATCCCTTTCGTTTTTCACCTGCCATGTCTATATGCACGTTGGCAAATAGGGGATTATCTATGTGATTCACCCCGCTTGCTTGCATCTACGAATATTTGGACTAATTCCACTGCCTGTCCAATTGCCAAAACTTTTCTTGCTATTATCCTTCACTTGTTTCTGTATGAAAATGTGTGCCTTGTTTGTTTCTCTCCTTTGGGAAAACAAGAAGGGATTCAAGTATGATTCAAGAAAGTAAAAAGTGGCAAGTTATCAAGTTCAACTAAGTGAAGGATCAATCTTAGTTGAAATCGATCCCCATTTTAACTAAGAAATCGAGTATTTGCATTTCAACATCAAACGCTTGTTGACATCTGATAGGTGTTCTTCCTGTAAACCTCTTTTAGTTGTTGGATCAACTTTAGTGTGGCAAATATTTCCCAACCATAAACCTCTTAAGCTGTTGAAGGACCTAAGATTATGTCACAATCATAATAGTGCAAATCTCATAAACCTTGTTTAGAATTCAATGAGTGGATTAGAACATGATCTAGCCTTGGGAAAGTAACTCTGAATTAGATTGTTGAAGATGATCGTTGGCTGCCTCCCTATGTAGTTCAACCAGTTTTCCAATGCAAATGTTTCTAAATCTAGCTACAAGTTTCACTTGCTCAACTCTATGCTATATAGCAGCCTAAGCTCACCGCTAACAGATATTGTCTTCCTTAAGCTTTTCTTTTTGGGCTTCCCTTCAAGGTTTTTAAAACACGTCTATTTGGGAGAGATTTTTACATCCTTATAAAGAATGCTTCGTTCTGATGTGCGATCTCACAATCTACCCCCCTTCAGGGCTCAGTATCCTCATTGACACTTGTTCTTCTTTCCAATCGACATGGGATCTTACAATCTACTTCCCTTCGAGACCCCATGTCTTCGCTGACACTCGTTCCTCTCTCCAATCGAAGTGGGATCTCACATGCTAACTTGATGTGCTTATTTAAATAAAAGGTTCCTCTTGTGTCTAAAAATTATGTCAACCCACCTTTAACTTCTATGGTTTGTTTTCACTATTTTTGCAAACATATATTTCCTACCCAAATTTCAAAAACAAAAATATATTTTTTAGAAGAACTATATATTTATGGTTATTATTATTATTATTATTATTATTATTATTACTATTTCAGTTTGGCTAGATTTTGAAAACACTTCTTCATAGAATTAAATTGAAAGGTAGCTGTTTGTTCAGGCAATGGAGTGATTATAATGGTGAATGGCTTCTTCGTAGGAATGACTTGCCCAATAGAAGGTTATAAGAGTGCATAATGAAGCACTGAACTTAAGTTGAAGGAAATTAGTGTACACTGAAGAACACAACATGTTCACATTAATCCAAATAACTCTGAATAAGGCTCTAGAGTTTCAGATCAATTTACGTGATAGACATTATCATCATCATCGTCAAGATTTTCCAAAGAGCCATAGCAGTAGCATGATCTTTAACCCACGAAACTGATATTACAGTATATCATATTATATCATATCATATCATGAGTTTACATTTATTTGGTACATCCGCTTTAATTTACATTTATTTGGCACAAGCTGCTGATGTACACTTTTGGATAGAATCTTCTTCTAAAGAGGAACATCAGAAGGGTAATCTTGGGGATACCTCTTCATTGTTTGCCTCAGTACCTGTTCTTGCTCATGAAGGTTTGAGGGTATGTGATCATAGACATCACTGAACAATGCTGAAACTGGAGCTTTCTCTGCCTTCTCTGCTTTCTGGATTGCTTGCAACAACTAAAAAACCAACAATTTGATTATGTTTACCAGTTATGTCCTGATCCTAGTTTCAACCGGATCTTGTTTGATAATGATTTTGTTTTGGAAAAGAGCTTGAAACAGTGGTATAAGAGGGTGAAAGTGTATTAAAAACAAAGGATCTGACCTGTTTTTTTACGGTGGATCGATGCATGGACTCATCTTCTTCACTCAACCATCCATTATTTCTTAACCATCTTGCAAACCGATCCATAGGGCTCCTCTTTGTTTTCCAATACTCAATCTCATCCACACCCCGATACTTGGTGGAATCATCGGAGGTGGAATGGTGGCCAACTCTGTAAGTTAGAGCCTCGATCAGAACCGGCATCTGCTCGGCAATCGCCATCTCTCTCGCTCTGCGAGTGGCGCTATAAACAGCCAGAGCGTCATTGCCATCAATCCTAATGCTTCGGACTCCATAGGCCTGACCTTTAACCACCACCCCGTCGCCTGAAAATGGAAACAAAAAAGGGAATCAGAGGTTGGGATTGAGATGTGTGAGATTTTAGAATGGATTTGGTACTTCGGAATTGTTCTTGGATGGAAGTACTGATAGCCCAGCCGTTGTTCCTGCAGATGAAAACCACCGGCGCTCCTAACACTGCTGCAAAGTTCAATGCCGCGTGGAAATCCCCCTGTAAGTAACAAAATTCAATTCAGTTCAATTGGTTAATAAAAGTCTCACGTCGTCGGCTAATTTAGGGAATGATCATGGGTTTATAATGAAAGAATACTATCTCCATTGTATGAGACCTTTTGGGGAGGTCCAAAGCAAGGCCATGAGAGCTTATGCTCAAAGTGGACAACATCATATCATTGTGGAGAGTCGCGTTCATCTAACACGGTTAAGTGTTCAAAATTGAAAAAGGAAAAAGAGGATATTTAAGGTATGTACCTCGCTGGTGCCGCCATCTCCAAAATAAGTCACAGCGCAGGCGTCTTTTCTGTCCATTTTAAGAGAATAAGCAACGCCAACAGCATGTGGAAGCTGCGTTCTGCAACAGACAGTTAATAAAGGACACACATGGTTTCAATTTGATAGCCACAAAGTTAAGTATGAGCTATTGAGGGATGAAGGCAATGTTACCCAATTGGCGATGAAATGGTGAAGTAATTGAGCAGATTGGAGCCATAGTGAATAGGCATCTGCCGACCTTTTCCATAATCACTTCTGTTTCCAAACACCTGATCTGCAAATTCTTGCAATCCAAATCCACGCCATAACAACACTCCCGGCTCCCTGTACTGTAATAAATCCACCCGACTCTCTTAAACCAAAACGAGATTATATTATAAGCTAAATTGATGTACGTACGTACATACGTACCTGAGCCAAAACCACGTCGTCGGAGTGAAGCGCAGCTGCTGAAGCAATGGTCACTGCTTCTTCTCCGGCTGAAGTTAAGTAAAATGAGATTCTTCCTTGCCTTTGGGCCTCGAAGAATATGGTGTCCATTGTTTGAAGGGTAATCATGTCTTTGTACATCTTCACCATTACATCCTTGCTCAACTATATATAAATTACATTATAAACAAAAGAAAATTAAATTTTTTCACAGAAAAAAAAAAGAACCTGCTTGAAATTGGCGGGCAAAATCGTCTCCCCATTTTCGTGGAGAATTCGATAACACGAGACCCGCTCCTCAGTCGACTCAGCAATGAATTTCATTTCACTCGTAAATGGAACTCTTCCTCCCGGAAAATCAAACTCCTGCCACGGTAAATAAATCATTGGTCATATACATATATATTTTTTAATTAAAAGTTTAAAAAGTTAATAATCAAATGATTTAATTGAAATAGTTAACATAAATTATATTATATTATATTATTTGATAAATTTTTAATATTAAATACTAAAAGTTATCTCATTAATGTATTATATTATATAATATACACAAAGATAGTAAGTAAATTCTGAGATCTATGTTGAACAATCATTATAAATGGTAAAGAAATTTCAGATTTGACTTTTTTCTCAAATTAAAAAAAAAAAAAGAAAAAGAAAAGCATTAAACTATTTTCCTTTGATAATTATGAAAAGAAAAAAACATTTAATTTTAGAAAATAATTTTTATATAAAATTTGGAAATGTAAAATGATTTGATAGAGTGACAATTGTTGGCAACTACCTTAATCTCGTAATGTTGTAATCGTAATTATTAAATTAAAACAAATATAGATTATTGTTAATATTTAAATAAAGAGGTAGAAAAATGATAAAGCCACCAACCTGACCATCGTTTTCGTCTTCATGGAGTCGCGCCGCTTCGGTGGATTCGAAACGACGTGTCGGCGAAAGCAAAGCGTAGCGGTTAGAAGAGGAAAGCAACACCAAGGCATTATGAGGGCCGGCGGCGGCGCCAAGAAGTGGCGGCGGAGAAGGAAAATTCCGAGTGAGAAGGGCGAGGGAAGTCCGAATCATAGTGAGGGAATGGGGAAAGAAGGGGAATAAAATTGAGAGAGAGAGAGAGAGAGAGAGAGAGAGAGAGAGAAGAGGAAGAGGTGAAAATGATGTGTGAAAGAGAGGATGTGTGCATAAATAGAGGTGTGGGTTTGAGATTGTTTGGAAGGTGGTGGCGTGGTGGGGACTGCCTCTTCCACCCCCCAATGCCCTTCCCATTGCTACCCATGGTGTGCCAACTTCTGGAGAGAAATCAGAAGCAAGGGCATTTTTGTCATTTCCAATTTTACTCTCTCACTCTTTTTTATATTTAAAAAAAATCTCATATACCTCAAATATCAAACATTTATAAGTCATCGTGCACCATAAATATTCATCACGAATGTCAAGCATTAGATAATTTTAAAATTTGGGTTGAGTTGAGTTAGATTGTAACCTTATTTTTCAAATAGATTAGGATTAGGAACGACGTGCTTTGGGTTGGCTCTGGGTTGGCTTAGTTTGAGTTAGTGGAGTTATTTGAGCCACATGTTTTTTTTTTTTATTAAGAGAAAAAAAAGAAAAGATACCTTAAAATTTACGTGCTAGAATTTGATGACAGAATATATTCTCCTCGGTCTTAGCGTGTTTCCCGTTTTTTTTTAGAATATATAAATTTTTACGATTTTAGATTAGAGTGAAATATCAAAATTTTAAGGTATTTTCTTTTATATATTATATTTTGAAATTTGATAAAATAATATGCTTAAAATATATTATTGTAATATATTTAATTGAACATTTCATATTTTTAAAAACTTTATAATGGTTTTAACTTCAAATTGGATCAACATTTTAGATTTTCAACAAAATTCAATAAATCTGATTTTTTTTTTAATAATAATAATAATAATCATAAATGTCTTGTAAATGAATATGATATTATTAAGGGTCAATTTTTAAAATTTTTAAAAGCTTTTAATTTTTCATCTTAAAATATGGCTTTAACGGGAAGAAACTTGTGTTCAGGATGTGGTAACAATACGGTCATTTCTCAGTCGTGTATAGAGAATTCCTTGATCATTTTCTTGACGGATAACACAAATGCAATCGCCCCTTCCTTAGAAACGAGAAGGATAAGGGACTTGGTCGCCAATCTAAGACTTTGACGAAGATGAACAAGGCTAAACGGTGGGATGTAAAAATGCATCGGTAGGGGAACGTTCCGCCTTAGAGGGAAGCACCCAGGTAGCTGACCCTCTTAGTCTATTCTTGGAAGCATAAGGTCATAATCCTTTTGTGGCTCCGCTAGTGACTAGATCCATGCGTTATTTCCTCTTTTGACCCCATTAAATATCTTCTCCTAATTTAATAAACATTTAAACTACTTAATTTTTCTTAATGGCCTATTTTAATTTAGTGTATTATTTCTTGACAATAATATTGTAACTTTCTTTATTTTTTTAAATTTAATTATGAACTTTGTTTTAAATTTTAAAATTTCATTCCAATAATATTCTTAAGCTTCTAATGTTTTAAAAATATTATTTTTATTTTTAATTCTTCTCATTTTAAAAAATTAAAAAAAGTTTCCTCCCTACAAAATATGAGTGAATGAAAATGAACAAATTATTAATATTTTTTTTTAGCCAACTTATGTGGTACAAAAATGCATTAATAAGTTGGGATTAATAAAGCAATTTATTACAACTTTTTAATACCATTAAATTGAGGAAATTACAATTTAACCCATGAAATTAACTTATAAGTATATCAATTGAATAGCCTCTACCAAAAGACCAAATCAGTCTCAAATCCATATATCAATTTTGTACGCAAGTTGGTGCACCGCTTTCTTTTGCATTAAATCAATCTTGCTCATCTGGTTTGCCCGGTCAAATCAGCTCTCCTGCTTGTGTTTCCCATGTCTAGTGCCCTTGATCTGGCCAATGGGAGAGATCCACCCATTCCTTTATTTCAATATGTTGTATCCTTTCTAAAGGGGGAGTTCTCTCTATTCAATGGACCATTTCCTTGTCAGGGTGTTTATAATTTAAAAAATTGTTTACACGTGTCAAAATGAAATAAAAGGTAAATAATGATAGAAAACTTCCAAAAAATTAGGTGTCCCACTTGGTTGTAGTTCCCAAGTTTGGGACCGTTCATATGCTTTTTCAATTGAACGGACAAAAGCTTTTAGTGGGTAAGTTATGAATTTTGGTGACGAAGTTTTGACATGGTGTGTTGTATTCCTCTCAATTTACGTTGAAAGTTTTGGTGATCGAGTTTTGGTATGGTGTTCTGTATTCCTCTCGATTTACGTTGATTAGGGCTCATAGGTTCTTTTGAGAATAACATAGGCCAACCTTGTGAGTGAACTTACGGTTGGAACACATACGAGTTAGGTTGGATGGATTGAATGAAGCATGAAGCATGAATATCTCATAATCGTAGCCCTCTACATCATATTATTTAATGTTATTATTATATTTTTGTGAACTTTCACTATGCATGTGAGATTCTATGACTTACCATGTATGATGAGCATGTATGACTTACCATGTATGATGAGCATGTATGACTTACCATGAATATGTAAATAATTATTGAAAACTTCCAAATATTAATATTTATTAGTTACATATCACTAAATACAAGTTTTTCATTTGGCTTTATTTTCCTCATTATACATTCACCTTATTATACATTCACAGGTTGACGAAAATGTAGATGTCTCAACGTCGATAGCGATGTTATAAAATTTATTAATCCCTAATTAGCTCTGATTAACAGCAATCATAATTGTTGGTGAGCGTGGAAATCCCACATCAGTTAATTTAAGAAATGATCATGGTTTTATAACCAAAGAATACTATCTCCATTGCACTGAGGCCTTCCAAAGCATATCCACGAAAACTTATGTTCAAAGTGAACAATATCATACCATTACGAAGAGTTGCGTTCGTCTAACAAAAATATCTCTATTTCATGTGAAATTAATGGTTTATAAATGAATAATTAACACAAATAGTGATTGCCTATAATCACACTCATTCAAATTCCAATCATGATAATTATGGATGAATGACAAATGGAAGGAAACAATATATTACAAAGAGATGGAAGAATTAGAGTAATGATGAATGCTTTATAGAAGCAAAACAGAGAGCTACTTCAGCTTGGGCATGGAGCTCTTCCAAGATTTTGACAATCTTCTCACGGCATATCATTGTTTCACTTTGCTCCTTTAGCATTTTCCTCAATCTGTCTCCATACACAAATGTCAAAACGTTTAATATTGTTCCCAGAAAAACAATAGCAAAATCATTATGATTTGAAATGAAAGCTATAAAGTACGTCGGGAGGATAGATTCAAACTTTATGGTATTGATGACCTACACGAGATATTGTAGATGATTGTACCAAACCACACATGCTTTGGGCATGGAATGACTTTTCAAGTGCTTGAAAATACTTTTTTAAATACTTAAAATGTCATTTCAAACGGACCCAATTTCAAACAGACCCAAAATGACTCCACCTTAGTGACTTTCCATAAAAACTGTGGAACTCTATATTACGGGAAAGGGTGGAGGAGAGATAGATGGGGCAACTACCTTTGGGGTCCTACCCAACCTATCTCGACCAACACCTCAAAACAGTGAATTTGGAATAGTCAAAGCTCTCCCGTGTTCTACTGAAATATGAATTCTGTCTAAGGAAGGCTTGCATCAGGCTCCGCAGCAAACCGCCCCGACTCCATCTTCCACCCCAATATATGGCAAACTCTCCGTGTGGTTATCATATGCTACTACTAAATCCTCCAGTTGTGGCATTCTAAATTTGAAGACTGTGTACAAGAATGCTACTCTTCTTATTATATGGAGAGTTATAAGGTTGTGGATTCCCCCACTACTAATGTTCCTTCAACAACCCAATCTTTTGCTCATCTTTTCTGCGATCAAATCCCAAAAGATTTGGATTTGGGGTTATGGTGAAAATGAAAGCCAAGAGGGACGTTAGCCCACTTAAGGAGTTCATCACAATTTATTGCTATCATCCATGTTCTAATAATTGCTAGATTCTTTGCTATCATTTGTCATTCTATCAACCAGAAACTCCTGATATTTGGAAGCAGTAAGAATTTACCATGATAAATGGAAAGGAAAGCACATACCTCTGTACAAGTGCTATGTCACCGTGACCAGTGCAAACAATAAGCATAGCATTAGTAGGTAACGAGGTATAAAGGTCCTTGATTCTGTAATCCATGCGGCTCAAAATTTCCCGTAGTTCAACAGAGATTTTGCGGCTGTTCCTTTTCTTGTTTACAGATTTTGAATCACATGTAAGTAATGATAATAGCTCTGCAAGCTTGACATTCAATCTTTCTTCATCATCTACTTGCTTCTTATGGTAAGAATTCAATTCCGAAAATTGTGTCCATATGAAGTGTACTCTTTCATTCATTACCTAATAGCCACAAACAAACTAGTTAGATATCAGTTTATAAAAGAAATTTCAGTCGAATACAATCAGCGCCATGCCAACCTCTTTTTTCGCTCTTGAAAGAGCTTCATCATCAGAAGTTACAGGAAATGCATGCGATGATTCCGAGGAATATCGCTTCACTGTTGAAACATCGTCAATGAAAGAAGACGTCTTTCCATTCTCACCAAGTACAGTAAGTAGTTTTTTCCGGATTAATGATGGAGGTGAACCGAACTCGGGTCCTGATAGAAAACAAGAGAAAAGGCATTCAATAAGAACTCTGCAGAATTTGGCCATTTATATATAACACAACGTAAGGTGATTTTGAAGGACCAAACTCTATAGTTAGAGGCCTCAGTAGCACTAGCCTCTATAGAATAGCGAAGAGGATCTCATTTACATTAGACTACAATTCCAATATGAAAGAAATCCTAGAAGAATTAAACAAGATCCTCCTTGAGTGTATCCTACCCCTTTTTGAAGAGTGCTCAAACAATAAGTTGGCCCCTTCAAAAATATGCTTAGGCACAATTTTTGGATTTCACTCTATATTTTATGAGAGGAAAAAACTCAGTATTTTACGTACGAATAGGCCGATTTTTATCCTCACAGCAATACCATGGCA